GGATAGTTGATAAGAATGTATTACAAAAAGCCTATCAGGAAAGAGTCCAAGGCATCTCAAACCCACTGCCAGGGTTTTCTCTCCCAGATACCATCCTGAGCCTGCCATCTGTGAGCCAGGCCACAAAGCCCCGGCCGTAGGAGAATGAACACACTTGGTTCCTCCCATCTCCTGCTTCCGCATCAGGCTTAGCCCTAATTTTTCCCCATGGAATGGTCCACGCCCAGGTCTCTGACGATGGAGCTGGTCTCACAGCTGCCCTGTGAGCGCTGGTCCAGCCCAAGCGGGTTCCTGCGTGAAGTGTTCCAGGACTCCAGGCTGTTCTCAGAGCTGAGTCCCCCCGAGGCTAAGCCCACAGAGCTCAGCCCAGCTCCAGGCTGAGCCGGAAGCCTCAGAGAGTCCTCAGAGCTGAGGAAATCCACTGGTTTTACCGACCACTGCTGAGTCAGAAGTGAACCAGCTAAGACACCTGAACAGCTATCTCATTGTTCCCCCTCATCCCTAAACCCTCTGTGTCTGCCTGTCTGTGTCCGTCTCCCTTTCAGGACCAGCCTGGCGCCGCTTCATGCCCTGCCTCCTTTCTTCTAATCTTGCCTCCCTGGCCTCTTCCATCTACTCCAGATTAACTGAGAAACATCCAAGAGTTTCTAAAACCTAGGAACAATAGACTTGCTAGATAAAAAGAATACAGGGCAGTACCTTCCTCAGTCACATCCCTCCTGCCCTCTCCCATTCTCACAATGAGTCTTATAAATATTTTGCTCAGAGAGACCTTGCACTCCTAGCTGTTGTCATTATTAGCCGTTTTTCTTATTATCTGTGGTTTACCTTGCATTGGCTCCAGGGAAGTTCCCGAGATAAAGCAGAGCAGATAACTGAGCCAGTTGTTGACTTTCATTTGTTAAGAACAGTCTTTGGGGGAATTTGTTGAACTTGCCAGCCTTTCCAGCGAGTGATGACGATACTCTGTATCTGCTCCATAGTCGGCCTTGTCCCCGCCTTCACTCTGCTCTAATTTATCTTGCTTCCACACACGAACCAGTGATCAGTACTTCCGTGATGTGTAAAATACTTCTTATTTCACGGTAGAATTCAGGGTCTGCTCTGAAAACGCATATGTTTTAAGTGTGAATTGAGTCAGAGGTTTAAACTTAAAGCCCCCTTTGTTTAGATCGGAAATTAATACGATGGAGGGAGGATATAGCTCAGTGGTAGAGTGCATGCCTAGCATGCATGAGGCCCTGGGTTCAATCCCCAATGCCTCCATTTAAAAAACAAATAAATAAACCTCATTACGCCCCCCCCAAAGAAAAAAAAAAAGAAGAAAGAAATTAATATGAGGATGAAGCTACAGAGTGATTATGTGTCTTCTGAAACTGCCTTCTGTCTTTGCAGGAAATACTATGGAGAGAAGATTGGAATCTACTTTGCTTGGCTGGGCTATTACACTCAGATGCTCCTCCTGGCAGCAGTCGTGGGCGTGGCTTGCTTTCTCTACGGATATTTTAATCAAAATAACTGTACCTGGAGGTAACTTCTCTTTATTCCTTGTTACTGTGCTGAAAAGTTGACTAGACATAAATTGATTTTCAGGGTCTCCGACTGGTTTAGTAAAAGAAGACTCATTGCAGAGCACTTTCTGCTTTGGATGATGTATCCCTTTTGTCCTGAGCATAATAACTAAGTGGAAAAAAATTTTTCTTAGATAACGCAGCCCAACCTCTGACAGGAATATTACCCTTAGGAAACACTCCAATATCTTAAGATAAGACTTTGTTTGAAAAAGAAAGGAGGTCTTGAGGGAGGATCATCCTTGAACTTCTGGCCCCCAGAGGAATGCTCCCCTCAGCCCTTACAGATGTGGGCCAAGAGCAGCTCTGATTTCCTCACGGTTTCAATGGCAAAACTGCTCAAACTGGTGCTTTTATGTGTTTAGAAATGACTTCTTAATATATATGAAGAGATACATGTTGAAAAACTCAAATGAACAATATTTTGTTTTTGTTTTACTTGAAAAACAAAATGATAACCCTTAAGTGTTAGGAGGGGAAAAAAGTGATAAAGAATTAGTTTGTGCCTGATGTCGAAATTAAAACACCAGCTGCACTGTCTAAAGGGAAATACGTGGATGCCAGAACACTGAATTTCACCATCACTGTTCTCAGCTGTGTGATTAGTCCTTTGCTTTTGGTGGTCTCAACCTCCAGAGGGGTGCAGCACCGAACCGGGCATTGTCTCTTGTTCATCTGGCCTCTGTCCAGATGTGACGGCCAGATCCACATTTCTGGGCACCAGCGATGAGCTGATGACCAAATTTTTCTAGCCCTGAGCCGATCAGCCTGGCTCCGGAGGCAGAAGCGTACACAGCAGCTCTGATGTATAGGCATCATTATCTGTTCTGTTTAACAGGATTCTGAGGGTGTGTGCCCAGCATGGCTTCTTAGGTACAAAGCTGCAGATGGTGTTGGAAGTACTCTCCTCTCTTCACCAAAAAAGAGTTTAGGGCCAAAGGCTGAATGTTGATGTCTTTTGCCTAAATTTGTCTTTGGCTTCTCCATTGTCTCATATATTGTTCCAACCAGAAAAAGGCATCTCAGAAATACAGCGGCAAAGTGAAAAGGTGGTGTTTTTATAAGGTTCTTGCATGGCAGTTGTTCTCATTATAATTCATTTTAGGAAATGACAGTCACACCACAAATTTCCTACTCTTTGACACAGATTAATTTACAGAAGATTTAGGGGGTAGAGGTGGGGGGTGTCTTGGGGATAATCTCCCTGTGCTCAAAACTATTTGGGCTCTGTTTATATAATTTTTAAGTGGTGTTGAAATATTTAAAATATATGCATTTTAAATATTTTTTAATCTTTTTTTTTTCCATGAAGGTACTGGGGATTGAACCCAGGACCTTGTGTGTGCTAAGCATGCGCTCTACTGCTGAGCTCTACCTGCTAAAAATTTTCAGTTAATATTCCATACTGAGTAGATTCACAAGAATAGAATATGTATTTAAGCTGTAAGGGATAATGATCCATCACTCAGTTTAAGAAAAAGAACATACCTGTTACCCACGAAGTGCTTTGTTCAATTTCATCCCCTCACTTTCCACTCTGGAAGTAACCACCACACTAAATACTGATTTTTATCATTCCTTAGCATACACTGTATATTCTTTTTCACATATACTTGTATCCCTACAAAATATGACTGACTTCTGTGTGCTTTTGAAAATACGTTTGCATAAGCAGAGGATACCAGAGGTGTTTCCTCTTTTATAAAAGGCCCGTTTAAACCTTATGCATCCTTTAAGAATAACAGCTTTATGGAGATGTAATTCACATGCCATCAAATGCACCCTTTGAAAGTGTGCATTAGGGGTTTTAAGTGCATTCACAGCGTTGTGCAACCATCACCACTGATTTTAGAACATTTTCATCATCCCCGAAAGGAACCAGTACCCTTTAGTAGTCACTCCCTAACCTTCCTTTCCCTTAGCCCCTCTACTTTCTGCCACTCTACTTTCTGTCTCTAGGGATTTGCCTATTCTGGGCATTTCAGATGAGTAGAATCATTCAGTATGCAGCCTTTTGTGATTGTCCTCTTTCATTTAGTGTGACGTTGTCAAGGCTCATCCATGGTATAGCGTATTATCTGTACACCGTTCCTTTTTGTGTTCACGTAATATGCCATTGTTATAAATACACCACATTGCCTCTCCATCCATCAGTTGACATCTGAATTGTTCCCACTTTTTAGCTATGATGAATAATTCTGCCCTGAATGCTCATGGACAAGTTTTTTTGTGTGAACACATGTTTTCAGTTCTCTTGAGAATATATCAAAAAATGGAATTGCTGGGAGATATTCTACTTTTAACATTTTGAGGAGTTGTCAAAGTATTTTTTAAAGTGACTGCACCATTTTACATTCCCAGTAGTAATACATGAGGATTCCAGTCTCTCCACATCCTCATCAACACTTGTTATTACTGGGTGTGTATGTGTGTGTGTGTGTGTGTGTATACACACACATACACATATATATACATATTTAGAGAGAGATATATATTTTATAGATTTATAGATATATATAAATATATATATTTATATAGATGTATATATTATACACACATATATATATATTTACATATTTACATATCATATATA